GGGAAATATACCTACTTCATGGAAGTCTCAGATTATTATACCATTTCTAAAGCCTCATAAACCACCTTCTGAACCATCTTCATACCGTCCTGTTGCACTTTCCTCTGTCTTACTAAAGCTAGCTGAACATTTAGTGAAAAACCGTCTAGAATGGTTTTTAGAAAGTAATAACTTACTATCCCCGAACCAGTTTGGTTTTAGGAAAGGTAAGAGCACCTTAGATAATGTGAGCATTCTTATTTCAGATATTCATATAGCTTTCTCACAAAATTTGTCAATCCTCTCAGCCTTTTTAGATATAAATTCTGCCTATGATAATGTAATAATTTCTATTTTAAAAACTAAATTACAAGCTCTAAATGTACCGGTAATGCTTTCTAATTTCATTATTAATATTTTATCAGAAAGAACAATATATATGAATTTAGATGAAGATACCAAATTATCTAGAACAGTATGGAAAGGCCTTCCACAAGGATCTGTTCTCAGTCCAATCTTATTTAACATATACACATACGATCTAGAATTATTCCTTGACAAATCCGTCAAAATTTTACAATATGCTGATGATCTTTTATTATATTTTATTGCGAAGTCCATAGAATCTGCTTCTGCCAAATTATCTGATTCATTAGATTTGTTAAAAACGTGGTTAGATGCAAATGGTCTTAATCTTTCTGTAACCAAGAGTAGTGTAGTTTTGTTTTCAAGAATGAGATCACCGCAACAAATTAAGGTGCTTTATGATAACTCATACATTCCTATAAAGACTGAAATTAAATTTTTAGGTATCGTGCTAGATAATAAATTAACAGGTCTGTCCCACTGTAATTATATTTCTACGAAATGTGAGCGTAACCTCAACATTCTTAGGTGCCTTGCTGGAGTTTGGTGGGGAGCACATCCCGTTTCACTAAAACTTGCTTATAATGGTCTTATAAGGAGTGTCATTGATTATGGAACTTTTTTGTTAGCTCCAGGAAGTTCATTTGCTTTTAAGAAATTGGATTTAATTCAATCAAAGGCCTTGAGGATTATCTCTGGAGCAATGAAATCAAGTCCAATCAATGCTTTACAGCTCGAAGTCGGTGATCCACCTTTGGTTTTAAGAAGACAATATCTATCTGATCGCTTCTTTTTTCGTTGTTTACAATTATCTGATCATCCGCTTATTCAAAAGTTATCTCAACTACATATCTTTATTTCGTCTTCATCTTATTGGAAACATAAAAAACCTCCATGTTTAATACAAAGTTATGAAAAATATAAATCCATAGAATCTCCCACTTTTACATCGTCCTGTTTTCCCATTTATAAATGCTCATATCAATCTTTAGTTTTATCTCCTAATATTAAATATGATTTTGGGTTATTAAAAAATGATTCAGAATTGAATGCCAAATTTATGTTTATAACTGACATTGAATGGAATGAATGGCACTACATCTTTACTGATGCATCAAAACCAGACAATAGCGGTTGTGTAGGTGTGGGTGTGTTTCATTCACAATTTAATATCGTTCAAAAAATTAAACTTCCACCGGAGTCTTCAGTTTTTACCGGGGAATGTTATGGTATTTTAAAAGCTGTAGAATATATACTTTTAATGAAATTACATAAGGCAATAGTTTTCACTGACTCTATGAGCTCTTTGCAAGCTCTAGCCAAATATCCGTTTAAATCAAAACCAGTTTATCCCATTATTTGTGACATAAGACAAAGTCTTTATCTTTGCATGTTGAGAGGGTATTCCGTTTCTTTTGCCTGGTTACCAGGACACAGTGGTATTAGCGGCAATGACAAAGCTGACCTTATTGCAAGAGAGGCTGTAACTTGTGGTGATATGTATCCGTATCATAATTACTGTAGTGACCTAGCTTGTCTCCCAAAAATATATTTAAGGTATGCCTGGAAGGAATATTGGGAAAAAACAAGTACAATAAAAGGAAGATTTTATCGCCTTATACAACCCGATATTCCTTTCAAACCATGGTTTTGTAAATTAAAGCTTGGAAAGACCGCAACAACTATTATAACTCGTATGCGTCTAGGTCACGTATGCACACCTTCTCATTTATACAAGCTTGGTATTGTACAAAGTTCGTCGTGTAATTGCGGTGCTGAAGTGGCGGACTTGAATCATATATTCTTCTCATGTTCTAAATTTGACCACACCTCCCTTTTTAATCATCTCCGATCCATCCGTGTTCCATTCCCAACTTCTATTCTTACTCTACTTTCTTCCAATGATCCTATTATCTATAAAATACTATCTTCATATATATATGATAACAATATTAAGATTTAGTTATATTACATGAATACATTTATAGTTGCATCAATTGCTTTTCCTATATATTTATAAGTATATTCTCATATGTACAAGTATATCCTTCATATCCTATAAATATCCTAGACCTAATCCTTATCCTTTCTAAATTCGTTTGTGTTAGATATTTTTATTACTATTATCGTTACCCCGTTTTGTTCTTGGCAAAATACCCTAATATCGGGGTGAACGCCACAAAAAAGAAAAAAAAAAAAAAAAAAAATATTTCGTTAAATTTATTACGCGGTATTAAAGCTTTAAAACGTTATATTTTACGCCCACAGTATTCATTTTAGCATCAAAATTGCCTACGCCAAGCACTTTCTACGTTAAAACTAATTACGCGCCTCATACCACCAACATAAGCGAAAAAATTACCCATTACACACCAATTAATGAAAATGGAAACAAGTATCAGATTATACAACCTATTTCATTAATATAATAAATACCCTGTACAAATTGCCCGTTACAAATTCTAGAACAACTATACGTAGTTATTCTCATTCTATGTTCCAAACGTTTAAAAAAACTTATCCAAGTACTTAGAACAAGAACTTGAATGGTCCTTATTCTTAGGAGTTAGACGATCACTAATTACTGCTAAACTCGCACTGCGGATTTTTATAGTGCGGTTTTTCTGCACAATTCCCTTTATGTAACATAATAACCTATTGAAATTGAAAAGCCACATTCACTTACGGAAAAAAGCGCGCGAAATACATGTCGAATACACGGTTTAAAATCCGAAAAGAAATTCGCTACCTGTACTCGTTGAACACCTAATTATTATTTGAACTTAGATTATAAAGTACTAGTTTTTATCTGCAACTTCGTCCACGTGACTGGAACATGTTTACTGTTATTATTTTTTTATGTTTGTCACCTCATAACTCCATTAGTAATAAACCGATATGGATTTTTTTTTTAATTGAAGGATGTATTTACAGATTGGTTCATTGAAATTATGTTAAAATCGCTTCAGTAGTTTAGTTTAAAAAAAAACTGGTTTTGCAACAATTGAAGTCGGTTTTTTTTTGTGGAACACAGTCTTAAATTATTATAGCTTGTTATTATTATACTTATTTATTGTGTGAAATTCCAACTAGATGTTTATTACGCCTTTGTAGTATGAGCTAGGATGTTTTGAGTGTAATTTCGTGAGATTTTATTAGCTGGAAATTGTTGAGTAATGCTTGTAAATTACAAAAATCCGTGACATGATCCGATGGACATCGAGCAATTACGTGACACAAGACATACACGAACGTTTAACATTAGCACCGTCATACACGGCAGCGCGGACGTGCGAGGCCCGAAATGTCAAACGAATGGTAGTGAAAACTGTTTATTTGTGGCACAAGTACACAAGAAATGGCGTGAAGTAATTAACTAAGTAATAAAAAACTAGGTTAGGATCGCTGTAGTAATACAATTATACATATATTAAAAGGTTGGAAAATACTAACTGTTCCAGATACGAATTTTAATATCTAACCAAACGTCAAATATTTTTTCCATATAGATACGATTTCCAAGACTTTTCCTTCTGTTTCTATTTTTAGCTTATCTTACTCTTTCGTTATCTTATCCCTTTATCTATTTTGCTATCTTCATTCATGTTTTACTGTATTTATATACGTCTACAATTATACAATTATAGGTGCTAAAACTGTTTAAAAATTACTTAAATTTCTCTAAACCCATTTCACTTTTCTCCAAAAATTTCTCCAATAATTTCATTTCTCTAAAATTTACGTACAGAATATTTTTTATCCAAAATTGTGAAAAACTTTCCAATCTAGCAACGCTGAACAGAAAACAGAGGACGCTAATGTAATCGAGCGAAATGGGTCACGGTTTCGAATTCACTGAACCCAAAAAAAATATATAATTAAAATCGGATCGAAGGAATCTTTCAGGACCTTTCAGTATATACAGAAGATTAAAATTTAAACCACCTGGCTAATTAGTTATTAATATTTTCTTCATAACAAATCATTAACGTACTACTGTAGAATACAAATCCTTTTAACCGACTACAAAAAAAGAAGGTTCTATATTTCACTGTATTTTTATTATCTATAAAAGGAAAATATATATTAATATACCAATAATTAAAACTATGTATTGTGTCTTATTTTCTTAGCTAATTTAATATATAACAGCAATAAGACCGCCTTACTGTACTTATACAACTGTATCGTTACATTTATTAAATGGTTTAATTCCCTATATATTTTTTTTCGATGGGTGCAAATGGTATAGTAACCCCGCCTGCGTTAACGGGATACGCTGACGGAGCACCAGTGAAGAGTGATAGATGAGAATGAAAACAGGTCAGTTAGCCCATCATGATGAATTCAGGATTTAACCATGATAGTTTCCAGGGAGAACCGCGAAGAGGTCGACCTGGTTGGATATATTGCTAGCAATGGGATTCTCAGTCTCCATTACTAACAATCCCTTTCCCCCAATTCCCTATAATATATTATATAATGTAAATAAAGTATACTCATTCATTCATTTATTTATTTTGATAACATTCAAAGAATTATTATGATGACGATGATGTTAAGTTCTTATATTTACATATATAATATTTACAAAATTATAAACTATACAGTTTATTTGTTCGAAAGCCGTGATTCACCTATGACTTGTACCACAGGTCACCGCAATAGAACAATACAAGTTCGCAAGGCGTGACCGCGAGGCGTGACTATACACCATGGCATGGTTCAAGCGGTACCAGTGCGATATGCTACTCGACATTTGAACGTGCAAATATAACCATACACCGCATAATGCGTGGAAACGCTATTTTTGTCCCAATAACAGTAAAACGACGGCGAAAACCGACAATGTTGGTGTACCGATTTGGACCTGCACTAAGGATGTAATGTTTAAACACAACGTGAAGTGAAGTAGTGACGTAATCGTGTCTATCGTATTTATTAACTAAAGGCAATAAATATTTATGTTCGTCTTTCTTCTTGATTTAACGACTCTGATAAAATATACTTTAAAACTGTAAATTATGTTTATTTTTGTTTAGATACAAAATTATCTTCATTATAACAATTAAAAAATTCAGTAGCAACTACCGATATGGAAGAAAGGTTATTGAGTGGCGACTCCATATAGGCAAACCGAGTGTATGGCAACCCCCCCCCCCTCGCCCTCCACTAGATGGAGCTACGACCTCAAATGTATTGCAGGGAGTCAGTAGATACAGGTAGCTCAGAACTGTTCCTTATGACAGTCTATAGGAGAGGTGAACAGTGAACAGTGAATAGTTAACAGCTGAAATGATGATGATGATGATGAATTTAAAAATTCACGGTACATATACATCAATTTATATACAAGGTGTAACGGTCGCAGTGTGACAAATTAAACAATATACCTAATATCTATTCATGAATCTGAACATCCTACCGATTATCGTAGTTGAAATTCGATTGAAACATAATAACAGTCGTTGTTTAACACGGATTAATCAAATAACACTCACAGCACAAACTATGTATATCTCTGTATACAGGAACGAGTAGTATTAAATTAGTATTTATATTGTAATGTTATTGGAAAATAATTTTGAAATTACAAGTTGTGTATATATATTTAACCGATTTCAAAATTTATTATGATCCATTTCAATTTATCCACCATACATTTCTGGATATATCTATCCTATATATCTGATGATGAAAGGTGTATACGTTTTAGCATCAGACTATTATTAATATATATTATATAATAATAATAATCATGCACATGGTGCAAGTTCATACGCACGTTTCCAACTCTCAAGGAACTGGGAGGAAAGGGATTGTTAGCAATGGAGTTTGACAGCCCCATTGTTAGCAATTTGCCCTATTAGGTCGACCTTCACGTGGTTCCCCCTGGAAACCATCGTGAACAATTCTTATTGAATTTGTCACGATGGGCTAACTGGCCTGCTTCATCTTCACCTATCATCCTTCACTGGTGCCCCGCCATTCCATTATCACCCATTAAAAAAAAAACTCTAAGGAACTATATATATATCTATATTAGTTTTTATCCGCAAATTCCTTCGTCATCCATGACCAGGATACGCGTACTGACCGGAATAAAAAGTAGCCGATACCCTTTCTCATCCCATACACTATGTGTATATCAAATTTCACAGTGTTTGGTTGAGCCGTTAAGGCGCTATAAGTTAAACAAACTTATTTGCACACATGTAATATTAGTAAAAATATCTCACTCGATATCTATTAAAGTTATTATCAATGTCAAGGTAGATTTACAATAAAATAAGCATATTAACAATCACTACATAGTATAAAACAAAGTCGCTTCCCACTGTCAGTCCTATGGACTGTATGCTTAGATCTTTAAAACTACGCAACGGATTTTAATGCGTTTTTTTAATAGATAGAGTGATTCAAAAGAAAGGTTTATATGTATAAGAAATGCATTATATAGTAGAAAAACACTGACAATTCTAGAGCTTTCTAATGGGCCGGTAGCACTATTTAATATCAGCATTGCACTCGTGCGAAGCAAGGGCGGGTCGCTAGTATGAAATATTAAAAAAAAAACATCATTTATTTCAACTAATGTTTAGGGGAAATTACATCGTTTCACAAATACTCTTACTAAGAATTTCGTTTTTACCCTTTTCCTATATAAATCGTTTGTTAGAGCAAGCTCGAAATGAAAGAAAGCACTTTATAAAGGAATGTCTGTGTATTGTAGTGTTATCTATTGTAGAAGTGAGTCGAGTAAAAATTAATTTAATTGTCACTACATTCTTGCAATCAAATCCTAACTGGGTCATAGGTAACACACATACGTAACATACGAACGTAAGTAATTACACCTAGGAATGATTACACAATTCATAAAAGTAAAAAGCTATAAAATGTTAATAACAACCAACTGAGGCCAAGCCGCAGACTATGTTCCAAACCTATATTAAAAATTCCATTCCAAACTTAGGTGAAGTGAAAATTGAAAATCTACAACCCTAGTCGCACGTCAGAATATATATTTACATACATGTATATAAATACAATAAACATAAACCACCATATAATTGTATCTCTTTTCTATCGCTATTTCTTAATACAGTAGTATTTAGAATTTTTGAAAATAATAAATAGCCCATGTTACTCGCTGATAATGTAGCTTTCTATACAATGGCAGGCTAAGTTCGTCAGAAACTCGAACCAGCAAAGTCGAATGAGATCCCCAGTTTAAGAAATTATTGTAATTTTAAAGAGTTTTTATTCAATTCAAATTTAGCAGGCGGGGTAGCAACCATAGTTAGCTTTTGGTTATTTTAAGAGGGACGCTACTGGTCATCCCTCGACCATTAAATTTCCTTAGTCGCCTCTTACGACGCCCACGAGAATGAAAAGGGTGGCCCATTCTATATCGGACCACACAACGTTTATATTATATCATATTATTATAGTATAATATTAGTATACATGAACTTGAAATTTTTAGCATAATTTTTATAAATTTCTTCTATTAAATTGAATATTTTCTTCAAAGAACATTATGTCTACAATCAATACAAAATTTTGAACCTACCACACTGTACGACGCGTCATAGAGTTTTTGTTGCAAAATTCGTTAAAATAATATAAATTCTACTAGAGAAACGTTCTCATAAACAAATGCCAATAATTTCCAACTCTGTGGCTACATTACTAGCATCAAATCTAATATTTATTTATTGATAAATAAATAAGGGGGATACGAAATATCTTTTATTGCACTCGTAACTGTATATTAAAACTTAGTTTATCAAATAGATATCAAATATGGAATTTGTATGCAAAATTGCCAAAATTTCAAGTGTCTACTTGTATCTCCAAATGTTTTTATTGTGTATACGTAGATCAGTTTTAACCGATTGAATCACAGACAGCGTCGCCTTTATTTTGCCTCGATATTCTATAATTTTCTATGCCATTGATCCCTGTCACCCGTCACTCTTATGTTCACACTTCTTTTACGCATCATACCATCTTTCTAGAAATCCGTCTATATATACTTTTATTATTTTAACCAGCAGCCCGGCTTTTAACACAATCGAATTGGGCTCAAATAGAAATTATATCTGATAGATGTCAAAGGGTGTTACCATTAAGTTTATTTCACATCTACTAAATGTAATATCAGAATGATCTCAATTTGATTGCGTTGAAAGTGAACCTACACATTTAACTGATCAAATAACTGATGATCTGTAAGGGGTACTAAGAACCCTATTGCTAGCAATAGCAACCTGTCCAATCGATCTCCACGCGATCCTTCCAAAAAATCACGAAGAAATCCTGGTCAATTTGTTATGATGGCTCAACTGACTTAATATAATCCTCGCTTATCATCTCTTACTGGTACCCCGCCAGCTTATACCGTTAATACAGGCGGAGTTACCATTCTATTTTCATTTATTAACTTATTTCACAAAATAAACTATGAGTTGCCTAATCTCCTAAGATATTTAAATTTTATTCATATAACTTAATGCCCATTAAAGTTGTTATCTGTCTTTTTTTAGCCTTTCTTATTTCACTTAAACGAAACACATTGTTTTCTTCGAATGATTAAATCTCTTTAAGGATCAACAGACTCCATATAAATGTTAATGAAGCACGAAGCAGTTAATTTTGAAAAGCTCACCTTGCCCCAACAATGGGCAATGTTATACAAATGAAGCACCTAATATGGACTTCGTTACCATAATAAGCAAGCCGAAACTTAAAATGTTTTATTGTCTACAACGGGAAGAAAGGGGGAACAGTTGACTTAAGTTTTGACGAGTAATTTCGGTAATTTTACATTGTTATCTCTCATATTTATGGTATCCAGTTTTCTTTCGATGTATCCAAACACAACATGAGCGCTAATCGGAAAGTTTTTCTCAAAACTCGGAACGAACAATAAAAATAAAAACTTCCAAAAACTTTCTTTCTCAGTCAAAGCTATTACAACCCACAGAAACATCAGATAATTGTGTTTATTCTGATAACTTCCACATTAAGCCCGATGGTAAAATGTCATTTTTTTAATTCATTTTCTAACAATCCTATTCAAGGTTAGGTATTAGGTACATACTATATTTATTATTCTTAAAAACTGCTTGATTGTTAAATTTTAATTAAAGGACGACTTTACATAAAAGTAAGCATTTTTTTTATAGATGACAATAGAATGGTAACCCCACTTGCATCGGTATACATCTGTCCCACTCGTGTTTCTGTGGCAAAGTAGCTGTGTTGCATAGCTGTGAAGATATGGCAATGAAATTACAAGGTACAGAAATATAATGTCTTATTATTTAAAAATGGTAACGCATGAGGAAACTATGGACATAACAATATTTTGTAATGCCCGTAATGCTGTTCACATCTTATTAATTTTTCCAAATTGTATACAAAATTTACGCTGAATGTGATCTATTTTTTGCATCAATAAATCATAGTTTATATTGTGTAAAAGGTAATTATACCCTTATCCTTCATAATAGATATTATAAAAATGGAAGTGACTTCATTTATTACCTCTTCTTTAATACCTTAACGATCAAGCGTGATGTAATAACGTTAATATAAACCATAGATTTCTAAATAATTTTAGGAAAGAGACCCCTTTCCCAATATCAACTCTTACTTCAGATCTCTATAGCCAAATTACTTTAAAAATCCTATCTTCAGTTTTTTCCTGATAAGTATTTCGTGATAAAAAATACTTACCAATTTGAAAACTTTGCGGTTGGTTAAGTGTGTAAATTTGAAATCATTTTCTCATTAAAATTTATCAAAATAAACAGACATAAAATTTTGTAAATATAAAGTGTAATTAATACAAATTACGTTACTTCCACGATTCTGTATAAAATACAATATCTTGAAAGTGTAAAATAAGAACTTATGATAATTAATAAGGGTCAATTTATAGACCTTGTCGACCCCAAAATCAATTTTCGTTTATGTCAACCCCCGGAAAAACCGATTTCAAAGCCAAAGGG